GCGAGTCACAGGGACTGGCAAGGGGAGTGGCGGTTGCTGGACTCCACATGGTCAACCATGGTTTGAGTCCCAGAACAGGTGGCTTGTCTTCTCACTTTCCCTCTATCTCTCTGGTCAAATTAAAAAATAATAAACAAAGATAAATAAAATAAATCTTTTTTTAAAAAAAGAAAGAAAACACAGTTCACTGGGTTATATAGATTTTCCAAATGTTAAGCTATTTTCTTTATAATAGCAAAAGTTTATATTCATTATTTTCACCACTTACCTCATCAAAAAATTTTTAAGCATACTGTCAAGCTGATGGTGACAGATATGGATGCTTCAAACTTCTAATTCTCACTTGAAGGTTCAAATGTTACCACTGGCAACAAACATACTTTCAACTGTTTTCCTTCAAATAATAGGCTCACTTCATTCATTCTCAAGAAACTATTGGCCAGGTAACAAATGTGAATAGTCATAGTTTATCTGCAAGTTGTCCTGTTAAATAAGATTAAGTTCCATTGCTGCACTATGGACTGGCCCCTACGTTTGCATTTCTTTTAGGTATTGATGGCCTAGACAAAAGACCTAGAAAAATAGACAGCAGTTTGCCGGCATAGTAATCTTGTTTTTAGATTTTCTTTCTTTCTTTGCAGATATTGTCCACAGTCTGAAGTTTTTATTTTAAAAAAAGATTATGTTCCACAGGAAAAAAAAAAATGGATAGTTCGGTTTGAAACTCAGTGCAAGTCATCAAAATAGCCAACATAATTTGATATGCAGCAGCAGTACATGCGGATCACATGCAATATTAAAAGACTTTCACTCAAGGCTTAATTTTCAATAAAACAAATCATTTTGACTGCCTTAAAGTGAAGCTGGTACTGTTTGTGTTTTTTGTTTCTTTTGCTCTGAGTATATGGTGGTAAAATATGACTACTAATACAGCTCGCTGCCGCTTCCGCTGCCACTGCCTGGACTCAGCCTAAAGCACCAGCAGTATTATCCACGGTGATCACAATGAAAAAGGCAGAGTATCTTAGTATAATGAAAATAGTTTTGACCTTATAGGTCCCCTGGGAAGGCCTCAGAGATGCACAGGGGTCTTCAGACCAAAATTTGAGAACTGCTGACTTAGGGGATGGCTCAGCTACATAAGGTCTGGGGTGATCTCATGAGCAGAGCCATCCCAGACCACATACCTCTAGGTCAATTGGTGAGATGAAGATAAAGTTTCAAAGGAGCTGGGCCTTTATCCTAATACGGAAGCTTTTTCTTTTTTCCTTTTTTTTTGCCATAGGGCATGCATCCACCAGAGACAAGAGAAAATGAGAAATCAACCCCCCAGAGAAGATGGTCATACTGCAATCCCCCCTTCTTTGTTCTCCTTGGGATTTTGAGCATGCAGGCATATGGCCTGTTTCTCAGGCTGCTGGGTCCAGGATCAAAGCACAGAGTTGGCCATGTGAGACCCAGCACCTTACCTCCATGCCACCAGCTGCCCTTACAGAAGCTTTTAAAATTCCCAAATTCAAAGCACAGTTCTAGGCTCAGCAAGGACTGAGAAAATTAAACTGATTTTAGAATATCATAAATAGCAGTTTCCAAATCATTAGAAAAGAAATCATAAGCTATGAGACAAAGGTATGAGATGTACCACTTTTTCTTTTTTTTTTTTTTTTTTTAAACACAGGGTCTCACTGTTTGGTGACCCTCCTCCTTCAGTCTCCAAAGTAGCTGGGAATAGGCACATACCACCATGCCTGGTTTTTTCAGACAATGTCTCAATATGCTGCACAGGCCAGCCTTGAGCTTGCAATCCTCCAGCTTCAGCTTCCCAAGGTGCTGGAATTACAGGCAAATGCCAAACACCAGACTTTAGGTTGAACCAAGAATTAAACCTGAGCCTCCCAAGTGCTCTCAGCCAGCGAAACACAGGATCTTAGCAGACGACAGCACCATGGATAGGTCTAAAAGCTACCACTTTGACAGAACACTTAAATTCTGTTCTCTCTGACATATATAGGATTTATTCGGTGCCTCTGAAACAGAATTTCAACGAAGACTGCCAGTGACATATACAGAGAATCAAGTGTCCCCAAGTTACAGTAGGAGGCCATCTTGACTATCCTCACATATGCTAGGGAAAGCTCCTATAAAATGAAAACAACAGGCACGAGCAGATGGCGTAATGGCTATGTAGCTGGACTCCCACATAGTTGACCATGGTTCGGGTCCCAGACCCAGTGGCCTAAAACTCATGACGGATGCATGTGCCCAAAATCTCAGGAGGTGAATGGAGAAGGGATTGTGGCATGGCCATTCCCCTCGGGACATGATTTCTTGCTTTCTATCTTTGTCACTCTGGCAAGTGCACACACCCTATAGCAAAAATCTCTTAAAAAAAAAAATGGAAAATTGGAAATTTTCATCGCCCTCCGGTTTTCCCAGATATCAATTAATTATCTTTGGCTGCAAGAGTACAGGCTACTGCACAGAGAGATCAAAAAACTACTAATTGGTTTGTTCTTTTTGAAACTTCATTAAAAGAAGATATGGAAGCCATGGGCTTATCTGAAACTGAAAAAAAAAACTGACATCATTCGTGTGAAGCTCTGCCTGAGAAAATAAGGTTCACAGCTCTGCTTATTTTTATGCTCTCGCCAATGATCTTCCCTTATTCAGCCTACAAGGTAGGGTGCTACTGATTACAAAACTGTTTTTTTATGAGAAATTTTGATCTACATTCAGGAGTTATACTAGACTTTTATTATGCTATCAAAGATACTAATTTTAACACTGCTTCAGAATTCTGTTGAAAATAGAACATTTAGGGACCAGCAAATGGCGTAATGGTATGTCGCTGGCTCCCATGTAGTCAACCGCAGTTTGAGTCCTAGACCCAGTGGCTTAAATTCATGCCGGGCGCGTGTGCGTGCGTGCCCAAGATCCCGAGAGAAGAATGGAGGAGAAGGGATTGTAGCATGGCCATCCCTCTTGGGGGCTGATTTCTTGCTTTCTGTCTGTCTCTCTCTGTCTTTCTCGTGAGTGCACGCATTCTATAGCGAAAGCCTCTCCCCCAAAAAAAGAACAGTCAGGAGAGATGACTAATGAAAACTGTGGCTCAATGTTCTGTCTAGGGAAGCATCATCTTAATTTCCAATATACAATATCTCTAAACACTCTAACATCAAATTGTATTTTGTTTTTTAACTGCCAGAGTGTACTCTTATTCCTCTGAAAGACAAAGACAAAGACAAAGACTGGGAGAAAGCACCCAATGGGGCATGGTCACACCATAGTTGCTTCTCCCATTTCTCAATTCTGTTGGGATTCTGGGCATGAATGCACATGCATCTGGTGTTTTTCAAGTGGCCAAGCCAGAATTCAGTTTGGTCAGCCACAGTTAAAGGAAGTCAGCTCCCTTAACTTCTAGACTAGAGGGCCAGCCCTCAACATCAAATTCTTTCAAGGATAAGGGCAATTATTCCTTCAGACTATCTAGATAAAGTGATGAGGGATGCCAGCTGACAGATGACTCTAGCTCACTGACAACTTAGAAATCAGATGTTTGATAATGATGACCCTAATAACAATAAAGATATGTCCTAGAAAGAAAAAGAATGTTCTGTAGGGAATTTGGAGAAATAAGTCTTATACTGCCAAGAGAATCATCAGACATGTTACGGTTCCTAGCACAATGCTCAGCAAATGCCTGCCAAACAATCAAAAGTTACATTCTAATATTAGAAGAGGGTAAATGACCAAGGAGAAGATATCCGGAACTTCTTTAAGAAAGTTAATTCCAACGCCAATTAGAGGGCAATTTCATTCAACAGTTTGCAGTTGTAATGCACAAAGATGTTTCAATCAGTGGACTGCATATGCTGGAGTGTGCCCATGAGATAATAGGCCGTAACACATAGCCTAGGTATGCAGTATGTACAATCTAGGTTTGCGTAAACATTTCTGACATTAATACAACAAAATCACCGACTAACACATTTCTCAGAAAGTATTGCCATGTTAAGTGATGCCTGACTATAATTTCCACCATTTGTATCTATAGCTATCATCCCACTCACATTAACTGATATCCATAATAGTGATATATCTTCAAAAGAAGGTTCATCTTTATTCAGTATATTCAGCATAAAAATAAAGTGGGGGCCAGGTGGTTGTACAGTGGTAAAGCAAATGGACTTACATGGGAAAGGTCCTGGGTTCATATCCCAGGACTCTCAGAGCTCGTAAGGCTATATGCATTCCAATGATTTGGACACTGGGACAGAAGGTAGAACACATCATAAGCACCCTCTTAGGGATGCCTGTCTCTCATGCAAGAAATAAATAAAGAAAAAATACAGGGAGAAATACATAACTATACCAAGAGGCAAAAATAATAATAATGTTTAAAATGTTTTTAATAGGGTAAGCGGATGGTGTAATGGCTGCATCACAGGACACCCATGTAGCTGACCAAGAGTTCAAGTTCCAGAACAGGTGACTTAAAACTCACACTAGGACTGTGTGCATGCATGCTTAGGATCCCAAGTGGAAAATGGAGAAGGGATTGTGGCATGTCCATTACCCCAGAAGGGGTAATTTCTCACTTGAAACAAAAAAATTTTTTTAAGTTTTTAATCAAATAGGAATCTGCAGATGGTATAATGGCTATGTCACTGGACTCCCATGTAGTTAACCGCTGTTCGAGTTCCAGACCCAGTGGCTTAAACTCACACCAGGCGCATGTGCGTGAGTGCCCAAGATCTCGAGAGAGGAATGGAGAAGAAGGGACTGCAGCGTGGCTATCCACCCTGGGGGCAGTTTCTCGTTTTCTGTCTCCCTGTCTCTCTATGTTTTTCTGGAGAGCACACATGCACTATAGCAAAAAAAACCTCTCCAAAAATAAATAATAATAATAAGCTTTTATCCAGAACTTCATATCCTCCAGGGTTCCAAAGAGCTGGAGTTTGCTTGAACTGTTATTTAACTTCTTTCTTGTCAATGATTTTTCATGTTTTAAAAGCTAGGCTCCTCAAGCATTCATAAGACTCCTAAGGACAAGTGTCATGATGCTTCTGCTTCTTGCACTCTCTGGAGGCATAGCATCCAAGAGTTTCATACACAAAAGATGCTGAACAAATATTTGATTACGATAAAGCAATCATTTTTCCTTCTGGTACCTAACCAACAACTCTCATATAATAAACTTAAAATGTCTTATATTAGGGCCAGCCCTGCAGGCCAGTGGTTAAGGGAGCCAGATCCCACATGGCTCTTCATGGTACACTGGGCACACTAGCATGTGTGTCCCAAACCCAACAGAATGAAGAAGGGGAGGAGAGGGGATTGCAATGTGATCATGCCCCATGAGAGGAGGAGGGGGTCTCCCTCTGTCTCTCTATTGCTCTCTGCCTAGTACACGTGTTTTGTGTCAATAATTTAAGTCTTATAATAACTCACATAGTTCCATATTTCAGGTTAAGTTCAGAGCCTCAGACAGAGTCAGGAGCTACTATATAGTTCTAACTGAAGTATCCCTGTGACCCTCAGCAAGTTGCCTATTCTCTTTGGGCCTCAGTTTCCCCTTCTGTAAAACAAGAGGGTTTTCTTTTGGTGTTTACTTAGCTCTCAAGTTTTTATGATGGCAGCTAAGAGAAACATATTCAGCCAAAAACACTTAGGGTTAAAAAAAAATCACAATAATAAAAGTAGTAATACTTTATTTTGCTTTGCACCACCTTATTTATTACAATCATAATCTCTTAGATCGCAAAATATTTTTATTAATATTGTCATATTTATTTGCATATAGCCCTTTGGCAACAGTAAATGATAAATCTTAACTTTGTGAAGGTTCTGAAGCTGGTAAAGTACAAGGTCATTGAGGCAGCAAAGACACAGAAAACTGTTATTCGGTGTTCAGCTAAATAAATACGACTCGGGGAAGAGCAAACGGATCTTTTCCATGTTCAGAGTGATGCTAAATTCCCAGTGGACAATCAATAAACACCAGATTTCATTACACCTAGTCATTAACCATGCAGGTTCGCACTGTTTTTGGAGCAACGAAAAGGCCCCGCGTCTCTCGCCCACATCCACCTCTTCCCTGCTACTTTACCTGCTTGTACCTGGCGTACAGGTACAAGAGCTGCTCCCTGGTGGCCACCTGAATGAGGCCTTGGAGGTGCACGGCAGCCTTCTCAAACAGCTCTGTGAGGCTCCTGGATGCCTCGGTCTCGGGGCTCGGCGGAGATTCCGCATCACAGGAGTCATCCCCTGAGCTCAGTTCTCCACCGCTGTCGCCAGTGGTGGCCCCGGCGGGCAGGAACGGTGAAGCCATGTCTCCTTGGTCGGTCCGTCCCTGTGTTTGGTCTGTCCTCTTTAGATTGGCTGTAACGCGGGCTCGGGGGCCTGGGCGCCGAGGCTGGGTCCTGAGCCCGAGCTCGGGTCGGACTCTAGCTCACTTCCTCCGGGCTCTCTCACCTAACTCTGCCTCCTCCTCCCTTCCACTCCCTGGGCGTGCGGAGCTGGCTCTGCTACCCACCGCTATTTCTCCCCAGCTGACCCGGTCTCTCAGAGCTTCCCTCTGCCAAACAGCGCGCTCGGGCCCGCCGGGTCCCTCCAACGGCGCGGGGGTCTAGGGGAAGCGGCGCCGGGAGGTGCAGGGAAGTACAACGCGCGAAGGCCACGGGCGGCGGGGCGGGGCGGCGTGCGCCTGGAGCACGCGCCCGCGGGTACGCTGGGCTGCGTGCGGCACGGCTCTGCCGGGCCTGGCCAGCGCCGGCAGGGGGTGGCCTGGGGCAGCCCTGGGCTGCCCACGAATCGTCGGGTTGAAATTAGTAGTCACAAACTCCGGAAGCTACGGAAGGGAGAGCCCAACGGTAGGGAGGGAGATGCCGTCTCGGTGCTGGTGTAGCGATCGAGTGGAGTCGTGGGAAACCTGGAGCCGTGGACGAAGGTTCCGCCTGCTCTGGCCGCCCGGCTTGTGTGTCCCGGACTTCCTGGAGCAGCCGTGCGCAGCTGTGGCTGGAGAATTGGGCTCGGTTCCTGCAATGCATGATAAGGAACTGGGAGTTAAGGCCTTTGCAGCCCTGCTATATGGTTAACTATTAGAATCAAGTTTTGTTTTTGAACATCTGTGGCATCTCTCAGGGCCCTGAAAATAGGCATTATGCCCCTCCCCATCCTTCCTTAGCTCATATCTCCTTCTGAGCTCAGCGTTTGCCATCGTGCTTTGCAGACACTGTAAAGGGAAACTAGAAAGTACCACAAAGTTCTGCCCTAAGGGGCTTTAGTAGAACTCTTTAAAAGAAAAAATAAAAACGACTCTAACTTTGCAGTATTACTACAATAGTTAACCTTTACTGAGCGATCTTAATAGTCTAAGTAGCTCACTTTAGGGACTAGCAGTTAGCGTAATGGCTATGTAGTCGACTGCGGTTCGCGTCCCGGACCCGGTGGCTTAAAACTCATGCCGGCGCGTGTGTGTGCGTGCCCAAGATCCCGAGAGGAGAATGGAGGAGATGGGATTGCGGCCTGGCCATCCCCCCTGGGGGGCGATTTTTCGCTTTCTGTCTCTCTGTGTCTCTCTGTCTGGTGAGCGCTCGCACCCTGTAGTAAAAACCAATCCAAAAAAAAGAAGCTCACTTTTAAAAATAAATGAAAGGGAACCAGCAGTTAGCGTAATGGTATGTCGCTGGATTCCCACGTAGTCGACCGCTGTTCGCGTCCCGGACCCGGTGGCTTAAAACTCACACCGGGCGCGTGTGCGTGCGTGCCCAAGATCCCAAGAGGAGAATGGAGGAGAAGGGATTGCGGCGTGACCATCCCCCCCGATGGGTGATTTCCCACTTTCTGTCTCTATACCTCTGTCTGTCTGGCGAGCACGTGCCCTATAGGGAAAAAATGTCGCTGTACTCCCACGTGGTCGACGGCGGTTCGCGTCCCGGACCTGGTGACTTAAAACTCACGCAGGGTGCGTGTGCGTGCGTGCCCAAGATCCTGAGAGGAGAATAGAGGAGAAAGGACTCTGGCGTGACCATCCCCTCTAGGGGGTGATTTCTTGCTTTCTGTCTCTATGTCTCTGTCTGGCGAGCGCACGCGCCCTATAGCGAAAAATCTCTCCAAACATAATAATAATAATAAATAAAAATAAAAATAATTAATTAAAAAAAAAAAAGCTGAGGCTGGCAGGTGGCATAGTGGTGAAGAACTGGACTCCCACGTGGTCGACTAAGGGTCACAGCATTGGAGTTGGTGGCTTGAAACTCAGGCCAAAATCCCCAGAGGAGAATGGAGAAGAAGGTATTGCACCATGGCCATAACCTGTGGGGTGATTCTCACTTTCTGTCTCTCCAGTGAGTGCACATGCCCAATAACAAAAATCTCTAAAAAAAAAAAAAAAACACTAAAACCTCTTTTTAAAAAAATGAAAAGCCAATACACTGTAACGTTCATCTAATACTCAAAACAGTGTGGCAAACCTCTTAACAAACAAGTGTTGTAAAGAAATGTTTATTGGGAACCAGCAGTTAGCATAATGGCTATGTCGCTGGACTCCCACATAGTCGACCACGGTTCACGTCCCGGACCCGGTGGCTTAGAACTCACTCCGGGCGCGACATAGCCATTATGCTAACTGCTGGTTCCCCCAAATTCCATTTTTAAAGGTAAAAATAAGAAGAAGGAATTGTCAACCCACTGTGGCATGGTGGTTAAGGCAGATGTATGGCAATTATGCTGGTTATAAGAGTCCCAAAGCAGAGGCAACAGGTGACATACTGGTTAAGGTGCTAGACTCCCACATGGCTGAATGCATTCGAGTTCCTGATCTCTGCAGTATGAGTGTCCAAAATCTCAGAACGAGAATGGAGAAGAGATTGCGACAGGGCCATCCCTATTGGGCGGGGGGAGTGATCTCTCACTTACCCTCTCATTGTCTCTCTCTGGCAAGAGCACACTATGGCAAAAAATAAAAGAAATTGCAGGTGTGACCATCCCCCAGCTGGGGTCGCTATCTCACTTTCTCTCACTCTCTGTCTCTATCTAGTGAGTACATGTGTCCGCTGGAGGATTAGAAAAAGTAATCATAATAATTATAAAATAATGTAATGTATGTTATTAATTAATCATCTATTATTAAAAATAGCTTACTAAGTTCTTTAACTGTTTAAGAAACTTAATCCTACACAAGTGGTGCTTGATAGCTAGCCCTTGAACACAGTTTTGAACTGAGACACTCTACTTGCATGAGGATTTTTGCCTATCAATGCTGTAAAAAGCAGCTGACCTGGGAGCAGTGGGTTACACAGAGGAAGTCAGATTCCACACGGCCCACCTAGGTTCAGGTCCAGACATAGCAACTTGAAAAAAAAGTGGGCTACACATACCCTGGATCCGTTGGAGTCGAGAACTAGAGGAAATGGAGAATGGAGTAAAGAGGATTTCAGGGTACAGGCCTGTTTTCTGTCATTCTTGTGCTAGAATAAGTTCATCGATTAAATTGATTCATCTTCGGTGCTAATATTTAATTAATTGGAACTAGCAGATGGCGCAGCAGTTATGTCACTGGACTCCAACATAGCCAATCAGGGTTTGAGTCCCAAACCCAATAGCTTGAAACTCATGCCAGGCACATGTACATGCATGCCCAAGAGCTCCAGAGGAGAATGAAGGACAAAGGATTGATATGGCCATCCCCATGGGGGGGGGGGTGATTTCTCACTTTCCCTCTTACTGTGTCTGTCTCTCCCCTCCCCACAAGCAAATGTGCTGTAAGACAAAAACCTCTTTAAAAAGAATAATTAATTAAAATAATTGTCAGTGTATTTTGTTAACCTTTTTTCCTAAAGCTTACCTTAAGTACACAGTATATAATATACAAAATGTGCAGTGTATGTGTTATTAGTAAAGCTTTCATGGAGTCAAAGCTTGTACTCGCGTTTTCTCGGGATTGGGGTGGAGGTGAGGGTGGATGTTGATGCCTGTAAAACCCAGGTTGTTCAAAGGTCAACTGCATTGCTATTTTACACATAGGAAATCAACACAGAGTGGTTAAGGAATTTGCCAAAGGCTGCACAGTTAATAGCTGGAGGGGCATGGAGAAAGTCAGTTGTAAGTCAGAGGTTAGCCTGCTGTGAGGAAATAACAGGATGAACCCATAAAGGACACTGAAGGGGAGATGCATGTTTCTAGGATTTTTATTAAAAATGGGATTTGAATATTATAATAATTTTAGTAGCCCAGGAAATTATCTGCCTTTTCTCCCTTAACCTTTAAAAGGAACTATATATGTAAAATATATATATATATTGAGTTATGAAAGGGACATAAGCTGTTTCCCCAGAGGAGCAATAAGTGAGTTTTCACTGCAGGACAGACAACTATTTTAGAAGAGGAGTCTATCAGAACTAAGTGTCCTGAAAAGCGTAATGTAAAAGTATTGTCAAAGTTAAAATGATGCGTGAATGGAGGTGATGTTTTAAAAAAGACCTAAAATAAGGAGAAAAAGTAATATCTGAATGGAATTTTTATTAAAAAAAAATATTTTTTAGAGTTTTTTTTGCTATAGGGCACATGCACCAGACTGAGAGACAGAGAAAAAGAAAGCAAGAAATCACCCCCTGGGGGGATGACAATGCCACCGCAATTCTTTCTCCTCCATTCTCCTCTCAGGATTTTGGGCACGCACCAAAGCTTAAGTCACCGGATCCGGGACTCAAACCGCGGTAGATTACGTGGGAGTCCAGCAACATGACCATTACGCCATGTGCTAGTTTCTAAAAGGAACTATAGTAATAGAGATTCTATTTTAATAAATCATATAACTAAACATTAATAAATTAATAGCAATTAATTAATCATTAACTAACACTGATACATTAATATGAATTTTGCTATATTAATAGACTTCCTAGTGTTGATCAATACTTGTCCTGGAATAAACCCGTTCTGGTTCTGCTTTTTTGGTGTGTGGTTTTTTTTGCTTTTTTTTTTTAATATTAGTAGGTTCTGTTTGCTAATACTTTGTTTAATGTCTTTATCTCTTTATTTAAAGATTGACCTACAGTTTTCTCTTTTGTTATATCAATTCTCCACTTGGTATCAAGGTATTAGAAACCTTGTAAAATTCATTTATCTTTCATCTTTTTCTATATTCTGGAAGAGTTAAACATGGGAAGTTAGGCAAGCAAAATTCTCTTACTCTGCTGATGGGAGTGAAGATTGGCACAACTAGTATGAGAAAATATTTGGCACTATCGACTAAAGCTGAAAGTAACATTCAGCAATTCTTCTATCCA